CTGGCTGCCCTTCCTCAGTGGGCATTGCCCAGCAGCACCAGAATCGGCACCTAAGCCCTTGGACCTGCACTTGCTAGTCTTCTGACGTGGGAGGGTGGTGCCTGTTGGGCTGTACGGACCAGGGGTGGGGAGGTGGAATGAGGTCCTCTGCGTGAACTCCACTGTGGCAGCCAGGAGGGAGTGAGGGAGAGGAGTGGGGAACGCTCCCAGCTAGCCCCTCACCTAACTCCCCAGGGCAGTCCCGAGAGACCCCGCAGGTGCTGGAAGCCATGCTCCTGATTCAGAGCATCTCTCCATGTTGCTCTGAGGTTGACTCCGTGGCTCAAGCCAAGAAGGTGGCTCAGCAGTGTGGGTCATGTCCCTTGCCCCAGGGAATGGGCCTCCTTTCTTTGCTCTCACCTCGGACTCGTTCACTGCCCTGCGCGGGCTGTGCGTGGCTCTGCAGGTCTTCCTCTGCTCACCTTGCCTGCTCCCTTGTGGGGGACCAGGGCGCACACACTGGACACCCCCTGGTCCTCTGTCCTCTCTCCTGCTTCATGTCCTGATTTCCGGGTCTGCAAGACTCCCTCATGTTCGAGTCTGCATTCCAGAGCAGCCGTGCTTTGCTCTCTTGGTGGCTGGGCAACTGCTGAAGCAGGTTGTGTCCCCTACGGCGATGGCACCCAGCTGCTGAGTAGAAGAGGTGCACTGCCAGGCTCCAAGAGAGAGTGGTGGGAGCACCTGTGGGACCTGCTGCACTCTGGGCCCACTCAGGACCTGATGGGGCTGGGTGTGAATTCTGCCTGGCCACTTAATCACTCCAGACTTGACCAAATTGACAGACCTGAGGTTTTCAGCTGAAACGGGAACTCACCACCAGGTAAGAGCGACTGCAGTGAGAAAATGTGGTCATGTCCACAGAACCTTCAGAGCACCAGAGGCCGGTTCAGCAACACAGATCCCTGCTTCAGCCTCCCAGCTTCATCTTCTAGTGAATCATAAAAGTGACCCCTGGGGAGAAGCTAGAGACAGACTTGTTCTCAGGGTTAGCAAAGACCTGACCCAGAGAACCCGTGGCCTGCTGGACCCGTCGGTACTCTCGAGGTGGCCACCCCACCCTGTACACACTGTCCTACGAGGAATGTCCTCCTGCCACGTTCTCTCTTCACAGCCTCAGGAACGGGCCACGAGAAAGGAGTGCTGACGCCAGGCTCCACGGCACTCGCGTGGTGTGTGCAGGGGTCATGGTCAGCCAAAGCTGGCCATTTGTATCAACAGGCTGTTAGGAGACAGAAATCAGCATGCTCTCTACCATAGGCAGGTCAATCTGGGTTACATACAGTTCAGGTTGGTCCAAAGATTCAAATGGTGCATGCACTTTTACTAAACAATTATTATTATTATTTTGTGAAACAAGGGCATAAGTCTTTAATTACCTAATTATTCCTCTCCTGTACAGATACAAATCACATTACTCTAAGAATTCTTCGGGCTATTTAGTGTCTCTGTAATTCACTGGTTGCACTGTCTTGATTTCTTACGTCTGCTTCTGAAGGGTCAGAATCTCTGTTCTGAACATGGGCACGTCTTTCAGGAGGTCAGCAGGACCAGGCCACCAGGGAGTCTGGTGCAGGTTTCGCTGAGTGGGATTTGTTTACAAGCAGACCATGGCCTCTGGTCTTTGAGAATTGTGTGCTCACTGATACCAACACTAGGGGTTAAGACATGTTAAAACAAAAGGAGAGTGATCTTTAATTTCATGTAGCAAGACAAAGCACTTGTTGAGGCTTCGATGCTGGGGGCTGCAGAAACCGAAAGGGGCTGACATTCTCGTTCTCCTGTTTGCCAACCTGGAAGTCCTTCCTCTGGCCTGGGAACCAGGGGCAGGAGCAACACGGAACACAGGCACAGGTTTCCTTCATGATGGCTCTCACAGAAATGGGCCAAGAGGCCAGCGGTATGGGGGACCGGGTGTCCAGTAGCTTTGCCATGCTCCCCTGGCAGAGTGGCCTGGCGCAATTCACAGCGTGATTTCTTGGGTGTTTGGTCTGACTTGCTAGCAGTAGTTCTTATTTTTTGCTATTTTGCTCCTTTGGGGACTTAGGGGCTGCTTCATAAGTAGCATGGCTCTGAGCTGTGAGGACAAGCTGATTCCCGGAGGAGCCCACACCTGGCCGTGGATCTGAGGCGGGCAGTGTGTCTACAGCAGTCTGTGACCGAGACTAAGAGGCGCACATGTCAAGTTCTGAGATGCACCTGATCACAGTTAAATTCTGAGTGGCTCCAGCACAGAAGGCGGCTTGGCAGTGTGGGTCCTGTCAATAGGGGAAGTCGACCTGGAGGTCAGCAACCCCCGAGTGTGCGGCCACCAGCTGACTGGGCACTTACTCTCCACGGGGCTGGGACCTAAATCAGAGTTGTTCTGTTGCTTCCCAGAGAGACTGGCTTGGTACAGACAGGCTAGAAATTCACGCCAATTCTAAGTGATATTTGAGGACAGCATCTCTGAGCATTGATTGGAAAATAAGAAATGTGCCCCCGTCTGACTTCAGGCAAGTCACCTCACCCCGCTGACAAAAACACCCACCTGTACTGACCTCTGGAGACCAGGGAAGAGCCGGTGTCAGAGGCTGAGGACCTGGCCGGCCTGGCAGCAAGCCTCAGGTGAGAAGACGTGGGCTGGACTCCTGTTTCGGTACCGGCCAGTGCTCCTGGGTTCTGCCAGCACACACCCCCCAGAGAGCTCAGACACTGGCTCGAGGCAGCAGGCAGGACCCTCAGCCATCTCCATCCCGCGCAGGCTCATCACCTCGCCCCTGAGGTCCCTCGTGCCTCGGTCACCAGGGTCCCGGCTGCCTGTGTGTTGCTGACCACTCCTCGTGAGGCTTGGCAGGGTGGGTCAGGAGTGCGGCATCTGGAGCTACATTCCTGAGCCCAACGGTGGGTTTATGGCTCAGCTGTGCCTCAGTTTCTCCTGCTGTGAAGCCAGGGCCGGCCTCAGCAGTTGGAGATGAACCATGACTGTGGCTAGCTGTTCTTTCCCTCTGTTGCACTGTGAGCCTCCCAAGTGCAGGATACACTCCCAAGTTGTGCATCTGATTCGCTTTCTCCTGTACCCCAGCGCAAGTAAATGTATGCTGTGGATGGACAGCACCGCTGTGTCCCCAAGGCTCCTGCCCACCTGTGGGTAGGCTAGTGTGGTGAGTGGGTCCCTGGCCTGTGGCATGTGGGTAGCAAGCAGCAGCATCAGAGGAGCTGGCACACAGGGGATGCTGTTGGGGCAGCCGGGGTGGGGCGGCAGGCGGGCTCTGCATTCCCAGTTTGCACCGTTCTTGGTACTTCTGCATGAGGCACATGTGTTCCCTGCTGAGATTCGGAGGTGCTTGTGCACTCTGGAGGCCAGGAAGACAGTAGAAATGCCAGACAACAGGCAGACAGAGGTGATGGCTGGGTGGCTTCGGGGCAGGATCTCAGGAGCTCAAGTCCCTCGTTTGAAGAGCTTCTGTGGCATCAGTCACAAAATATTCTTGGGGCCAGACTGGGCCACTGTTTCCTGGGCTGCTATAACAGAGCCCCGGAGACTCGGTGGCTTCAGACAGTTCCCCTTGTCCTGGAGGCCTGAGTCGGCAACCAGGTTCCGTGGGCTGGCCTCTCCTGCCCTGGAGTCAGTCCTGTACCTCTCTCCAGGGTTTGGTGGCCACTGGCAGTCCTTCGCACTCCTGGGCTGGTGGATGCATCATGTTTCCTGGCCTGCTCCTCCGAGGGTTCCTGGCATTAGATTTGGGGTTTGCTCTAAATCCAACGTGATCTGATCTCAAGATCCTTAATTAATTGCATCTGCAAAGACTGTGCATTTGACCTGCCCAGTGGCAATGGGCACGTCCTCACCCAGGTCAACCCCCATTTCCGTGTGTCCTGGCAGAGGACAGCTTTCCTGAGATGAGGCACAAGGTCGTTCCTTGAGGCAGCCTGATGTGTTGGGGAAGGAGACCTGGGGAAAGCAGAGATTCTGGGCTCCATTGAGTTCTGGCATTCTGAGCTTGAATGACCGATGTCAGCTTTTGCACACTGTGTGTGAATTTGGGGCTGTGGTCCCTTCTACACAGGGCAACCTCTGCAGTTCCTTGAAGTGGGGGTGGGGCAGATCTGACGTAGCCAGGAGAGGTTCTCCACACCTTCACAGCATCGTGGACCCTGGAGACCCCTTCCCCAGTGGCTTGCGAGTCTGACTTGGTTGGCAACCTGATGTCCTCTCATGCCACCAGCCTTACCACAGTGAGCCACTCTGGGGTCTGCTGTCTTTTCCACATGAGCCACTTGCATCCCTGGATCAGTTGAGGGGATTTCAGATTTGATCCTGAACAGGTGCCCGGATTCCTCCGTGCTTCCTGCGCACGGTGGCCCAGCCCAGCAGCCTCCTTCTGCGCATGGTTTCGGTGCCGGTTTTGTCGTACAGACAAGAGCTGAAGTGTGTGTGTAAATACACGCCTGCTCGTTGCTGTGCTGCGAGTGCCTGGGACACAGCTGCTCTGCTGGAAGTGACAAGTGGGGCACGGGACCCCTTTGCTTCCACGCATCCCCCCGCTCAGCGTGCACCCCTGCCAAATCCTACCTCTAGCAGTGCAAGGCACGTGCAGGTTCAGGGTGCAGTCAGAGAGCAGCAGTCGTGACGAGGTGCAGACCCTCGTGTGGACAGAGCGCTCCCGCACTGTGTCCTCCCAGGGCCTGCCCAGCGGTGGCAGGGAAGGCTGTGTGCAGAGCCCAGTGTGCCCCCCCCCACCCCGCAGTCTCATTTCCCCAGGGAGAGTTGGCTCTCGCTCCCTTCTGCCTGTGGAGCCATTGGAGTGGAGGGCTTTTCTCTCCTCTGCAACTTTTCGGACATCGGCAGGCACTGCTGCTGTGGACAGCCCTGTGAGCACCCTGCCCACTTGCTTTCATGAAAGGCGCTGTCGTCAGCATGGTGACGCTCCTAGGAAGTTGCCCATTTATGGCTACTAGAGCAAATGATATCATCACAATAGGCGGCTCCATCTAAGTAGGATCATTTGTGAAATGAGATTATAGGCATTTCTCTGAAAAAGCAGGAGACAGAGCACCTGCTGTCTGCGATTGATGTCCCGGGGGCTCACACTGCACACGGATCAGGACGTCCATCTCCATGGCTAATTCTGCTACGAGCCAAGAGCCTGCCTTTTCCGCTCCATGCCAGGCAGCCCCCTCTTCCACATGGAGCCAGCTCCAGATCCATGTTTTCTGTTAAGCTTGACTATATGGGACATGCATCGCTATCCTGCCCGCCACGGTGCTGCAGTGTGCGTGTTTTGCAGAGCTCTGTGCAGCCTGGCCAACGATGTGACTAACCAGAGCCGTGGACACACACTGGGTCGTCCCAGCCTCCTCCTTTTGCAGCGAGGTTGGAGCTTCCTCTGAGTGCACAGCTCTGTCTGCTAAGAAGCCTCCGGCTCTTTGCATTTGGATGCTGCAGACGGTGCAGCAGGAGTCTTGCCTTGGTAAGTCGGGATGACTCATTTCTCACTTTCTGTACCTTGGTGTACTTCCACTAGTGCCTGGCGCCTGGTGGACAGTAACAAGCTGGTTAGCGCTGGACTGGTAATCTGACAGCTGCTTTCCTCTCAGTACTTTGCAGCATGTTTTTTCTTTTCTTTGCCCTCTCCCAGCCGGGTTGCTCTGCTTTTGTAAGTAAGACACTCGTCTCTTGATGGAGGGTGAGGCAGTGGGGACTAGTGTCACTGCGTCCAGGGAGCCTGCTAAGTGCGTGGAGGGTGAGGGGAGCAGGCTCACTTCAGTGCTGTGATTCCAAGAAGATAAGTTCAGTCTCCAATTAACTGTCATCTCAGTAATCACAGACACCAGGACAATGTGTAATGCAAGAACTCTTCTGGCTGGTTCTTGCTTCCTTACAGCAAGGACACAGCTCTGGGCTGCTGATTTCAGTATTCCTTTGGGAATGAGTGAATCTAGGGACCTGCAGTTATTAAAATTGTGTTTTTATATGCAAGCGATGGAGAGGAAAGCCTGCCGAGAAGGCTTCCTTTGTGTGCCCAGTGCAGTGGCAGGCTGGTGCCTCTTGCCAGCTGCATTAATAGGATCAAAGGGAAGGAGAAGACGCTGGCTGAGATGCCTGCTGAGAGGTGCTACTGCATTCGTCTTCAACACCAGAGCCCCTCCCGAGCAGAAGGTTTGGATTTAGTGCTGACCACATAGCTGACCTCCACTCCAGGGAGGAGAGAGCGGTGTGTGTGTCACGGGAACGGCCAAGGCTCTGGATGGAGCCTGCTCCTGGTGAGGCAGGAGCCCAGGAGCCCAGCCCCTGGCTCACACCAACCTGGAGGTGCCTCGGCAGCCGGGAACTTCATGCCAGATGCCCAGAGCCTGCAGGCACCCCAAGGTGCGTGTTCACGGTGGTCTTCTTGCCATGCTGTGCTGACAGGCATGATCCGTTTTGCTTTTTGCTCTTCTTTTCATTAAAAAAAAACCACCACAAAACAGTCCTCTGTAAAGAGCATGTGTGTCCAGCCCCTCTCTGATGAAGCTGAATGTCAGCCAGAGGGCTGCCGGTTCCTGGGGCATCTGGGAGTCGCACGTCTTGCGAGTTTCTGTTACAAATGGCCAGGTCTCGTAGGGAGCTTCCTGCTCTGGGAGGACTGAGCATATCCAGAGGGAGCGGCCATTGGCTTCTGCGTCGTCAGGGATATTGACTACTTCATTCATGATTTTGTCCCCAGAATCAGGTGCGTTACTCCACAGGGATTTGGGTTAAAATGGAGTGTTTTGCGGCCTTAAATCTATCCACAAAACAGGACGTGTCAGTGGGACTTTCCCAGCCTGTGGCTCCCACTCTTCTCAGCAACAAGTACTTCGTGACCCGGACCATCTGTCACTGGCGTCCCACATCTGGGCGAGATCTGACTCCCAGTGCAGGCTTCCCGAGAACAGGGCGGAGGTGCAAGCCACAGAGGATCTGGGTCCCAGGCAGAGGACTTGAGAGAAGGTTTTAGGTCAGGACACAGTTAGACGCCTGACAGCGCAGCAGGCGGCTGTCCCACCAGTTTGACTCTGGTCCTCAACTTGCAGGAGTAACTCAGTGCTCCATGTCTGAGAGTGAAGAGTGTTGCTTTTTAGATATCAAGTCGCTTTGGTTTATTTAGACCTAAAACAGAAACATTGGGAGAACCACCCCAGTTTCACACTCAGTCCCTGGCATGAGAGCAACAGAACTTTACACCCAGACATTTGGGGGTGAATGATGCTTGCAGGATAAACTTTGGCTCTCCCCTCTAGTCTCGGTATTACTAACTTCAGAAGCACACGTGCACTTGTTTTCTAAAACAGTACTGCTTTTATTGAATTGCCCTTTAATCCGTTAGCTCTCCTTTCCTTCAGGAGCCTGTGCCTTGGCCAGTTAGACTGGATTCTTTAACAGCCTCAGCCAGGGCGGGCCAGAGGGTGGACACTGCAGTGGTCTCACACCTGGAAAGCTTGTCCCCTTCGGTCTGTCCTGCCATAGCTGCCATGGCACAGAGGGGCCTGATCCCCACACAGGACCGTCACACCCTGACCTGGTGCCGTCGGGCATGCAGACTGAGCGTGGCAGGCAGAGGCAGGCAGAAGGGTGCTGTGCACCTTCATGGTGCTGTGTGAGTCTTGGGGACCAGACTGTCCAGAGTGTTGCCCACGGTGATTCTGGCCAGGGTTGCGGGTGCTTCTGGGTCACTGACACGCTGGCTGCACTTCCTCCTCTCTCTTCAGTCCCAACCAGAGCTGGTCCCCAACCCTTCTCACACCGCCCTCCCTGACGCTGGCTCCAGCTCTGACTCAGGCGCTACAGAGGCAGCAGATGCCAGGCTTCTGATTATTGGGTCCTTGTCCTATTCATGATTATTTCAAGATAACAACTAGTAGTAAAATTAGCATTTGTCATGTGACTAGTGTTGAGGAAAGCGGCTCACGTTTCTATTTGCAGAACAGTTGCTGTGGAGTTGCTCTCCTGCCTGGGCGTGGGGGTTAACAGTGTGTCTTATTCAGTGGGCTAGAGGCAGCTGCCGGTGGGAGTCAGTTTGTCCTGCTCCCTGGGGCAGTGTGCTCCTGTTTTGTGGACTGGGAGCCTGATGTGGAGACCTCCGGCCTCTGGAAAGCACACCTGCCGGCTGTCCTGGGAGGGTGGAGGGACGCGCTCCCATCAGGACCTGCAGGCGCGGCTCACAGCCACGCTCGTCCTCTTGGGCTCCTTCCATCCTGCGGGATGTTCCACGCTGGCTCTCCTGCTGGGCACCTTCTTTGGTCACTGTGGGGCTATGCAGATGAAGACTCCTGTTACAGCCCCCAGCAGCAAGACACCTGGTCCATCTGAGTGGGTCAGCTCCCCACAGTTGAGGGAGTCTTTCCAGTTACTCGTTACTGCAGGGGGCAGTGGTGGGACTCAGAGGTGCTCTGGGAAGTGAGGTGACCTTGCCCAAGGCTGCCCCCTGCAGTACTGTCGAGGGCCTGGTGTACTGGACAGGTCAGCGTGTGGGTGGGGTGGAGAGGACGGCCCCTCCCACCTGTCACTGGGGAGGTGGGACCTCAGCTTCTGAAGCCAGAAAGGGCGGTAGTGATGGGCACATCCCAGCTGGCCCCAGTCTGTCACATGCTAGACAACCACCAGGGCCCCCTCTCTTCCCTGGGTGGCCCTGAGGTTCTGCTCCCACTGCCCTGGGGCCTCTGGCTGCCTGTGCCTGTCGTGGTCTGGATTTGGTGGGAGGTGGGTGTGCCTCCCTCCCCGCTAATGTTTTGGCTGACCTCAGGCAGGGTGGGTAAGGGTTGTGGCCACCGCTGACCTCAGACCCTCTCTGGAGCATGTTCCTCCTATTCCAGGGCCAGCTTCCTCTGCCTCCTGAGGTGCCCTGGGGGATGGCCCTGAGTGGACCAGCAAGCCAGGGGCCCATCGAGCTGTGCTTGCAGGACCCCCTTTGGTCCCATCTGGTCTGTCAATGACCCTGAGGTGCTGCCAGCAGAGGCTGATGAGTGGCAGCAGAGCCAGGGTGCCCTGTAGTGAGCAACCGGTCCTTGAGGCCAGGCGAGCCGCGGAGATGGGTGATGCAGGTGGCGCTGGGAGGACGCCACCACAGGAGTGCACAGGTGCCTGCCCTGGCTGCTCACACCCCCGGGGCCCAAGATTTGTGGGACGGACCTAATGGTGCCTCTCTTTTTAAGACTTAATATTTTTGAGAGTTTTTACCAGAAAATCTAAGCACAAAGTGTGCAGAGAATTCCCACATTCTCTGTCCCTCAGTGTCCCCTCACAGCAGTGCACTGATACCTGTGACGAAGCTGGGAAGGCCCACAGCTGATGTGGGGGCATGTGGTGCTGGAGACGCCCTGGGTGTGGGCATGTGTTTGCTGACTCGTGTCCCCTGCAGCACCAAGAGCGCCTCTCTACCCTAAAGGCCTCTGGGCCCCGCCCACTTCTCCTTCCTGACCCTGCTGACCCCTGGGCTCTCACTGAGCCCAGAGCTTCACCTTTTCCAGAATGTCCTGTGGTCAGAATCACAGGGCACCTGCCCCTTCAGAGTGGCTTCTCTCACTTAGCTCTGTGCCTCTCATTTCCCCATGTCACCTCCTGGCTGGCTGGCGCATTCCCTTGAATGCCACATATGTCCTCTTGCCTGGATGTCATCATCGACAGTCTTTCCATCCACGTTCCTATTTAGGGCATCCCGCTCGCTCCCAACCCAGCAGCTGTGAGTGAAGCTGCCGTGATGGTCTGTGTGCAGGGTTCTGTGTGCACATACACTCAGCTCCTTGGGACAAATACCAGTGCCACAGTCATGGATCCTGTGCTGCACTGGGACCAGCACATGTGTGGTGAGGGTCCACGTTCACTCTGTGGGACCTCAGGCAGGTTCTGTGCTGGGCCGTGGCTGGCTGAACGTGCCCATGCGCCACCTTTCCATGACCTAAACTGACCGGCAGACATGCCACCGTGCTGCCCTGGAGCCAGGAGCAGGGAAGGGGCCTTCTGGAGACCCAGCTCCTGTTCAGATGGATGCTTGTCAAGACCGGGTGGCCATCCCAGGCTGGCTGAGGGCAGGGGGACGTCAGCCCCAGTGCTGCTACTGGGCAAGGGCCCTGTTTCCCAAGGTGCTCGTGGGTCCCGTGCTGTGTGGTCCCCAGCAGCTGCTGGAGGTGATCACAGGTCCATCTCCAGCTGCGTGGGAGACCCGGGCTGACCCTCCTGTGGCCTTTCCCTGGACAGGGGCAGCCCCAGCTCACACACCCCTGATTTGAATGCCACCCTGCTCCCTCCCAGTTCTTGACTCTCATAGGTGGCCTCTGTGGTGACATGACTTCCTGCCACCCAGCTGAGGCACAGCCCTGGGGGGGGTGCTGTGCTGAGGCCCCTTCAGGACTCTGCCTGGGGTGCTGGCACTCCAGGGCCCAGGGTGGGCAGTGTCCTCGACATGGCTTGCCTTTCACAAAGCAGCTCCGTGGTGCTGCCTGTCTCTGTCTC